AGAATACTCTACCAATGTTCCATGAATTATGAGGTTTTTTTCACTGTGGCTGGTGGGAATAGGATATATTCCAGGCCCTGTGTGAGTTCTGAGGATTGTTCCCCATAATTCCTTTGAGTGGTTCTTCCCTCAGCCTCCAGCAGTTTCCTCACATTCATGTGCTGATCCTTTCTCAGCTGGATCCTTAAGGAGACCATCTGCAGATTTTCTAAGTTCCTTCTCTCTGAAGCCTTCTCCTCTCCAGTGCTCAGCCCTGTGAATTCTAGCCACATTAGCCTCCCCAGACTTTTAGCTCCTTCTCCCCAACTTAGGGAAACTGTGGGGCTCTGCCTGGGTCCCTCATCCAAAACTACAATCCAAATATCTCTCCAAGCAGTAAGCTGACACCATCATGTGGATCACCTTGTGTATGTATGTGTGTGTGTGTGTGTGTGTGTGTGTGTGAGGCAGAGGGTATCACTCTGTTGCCCACGCTGGAGTTCAGTCATGCAATCATGGCTCACTGCAGCCTCAACCTTCTATGCTCAGGCGGTCTTCCCACTTCAGCCTTCAAGTAGCAGGGAACATAGGTGCACACCTGGCTGATTTTTAATTGTTTTTTGTAGGGATGGGATCTTGCCATGTTGCCCAGGCTGGTCTTGAATTCCTGGGCTCAAGTGATCCTCTCACTTCGGCCTCCTAAAATCTTGGGATTTCAGGTGTGACCACTGCACCTGGCCCGGATCATTTATTTTGTTTCCTGTCTCTCAGAGGTCACTGTCTTTTGTTACCTGCTGCCTGATATTTTGTTTTGTTTTCCTTTCTATTATCATCCCTTATCTGCGGAAAGGGACCAGTGTTTTTATATCCAATTAGTTTGTATACTTTGTCTGGGTGGTTTTTCTGTTTTCTTTTGTTTTCAGTTATTTCATGTGGAAGATTAAGTCCTATCCTCATTACTCCATCTTGGTCACATGTGAAAGTCTTAAAATACATATGACTGCATTGCATTTTTTCTATTAGGGATTATATTGATCTTTCACTTTTAAAATTATATTTATAAGTACATTTTATTATCTATGAGTTTTATTTCAGGATATGTATCAGTCAGGGTCCACTCAGGAGACAAAACCATATCAGTTATTTGAACATAAAGAATTTGATACAAAGAATGGTAAGCTATACACAATTATCAACTCAGTAACTAAACAGCTAAAAAGGAAGACATATACCCTCTCACAGACACAGCAACTATAGGCAGCAGCTACCACTACTAGGACTGGGAAAACAGAGAAGAGCTTGGAATTAATAAAACTTAGGAACACAGAGGTGGGGCCCTATGGAGATGAAACTCAGCCTCTGAGAAAGAAGCACTACCTGCCTAGGGCTGTGTTGGCATTGGGAGGAGGAGCCTTGCGGGGTTGAGGCCTGAACTTCTGAAGAAATGATGCTGGTTGTCTGGTGCATGCATCTTTGAGCAGGAGTGGGATGAAGGGTTGGGAAAAACAGCAAGTAGGATCCAACCACTGATTTGGGAAGGAACTATCATTTCCAAGGTGAAGAGGCAAGCCTGGGTGATGCACACAAGCAGACAGGAAGTCCACAGGAAATACGAAGGAAAACATCCTTCTTCCTGTCCTAACCTCATCGTTTTTCTTTAGTGCCCTTTACTGGCAGACTCTAACATGAAGCCAGCAAATAGTGCAGAAATGTGTTTTTCAGAGTACCAGATCCAGTACCACAAAGCAAAGTACAGAAGGGTGGATTTGGAGTTGAGAAAAAAGTAGTAACTGGCACCATATATGTGGTAGATTTGAACTGTGCCAATTTAGCTAAGCTAGAACTAATTTCTCCAAATTCTCTTCTCTGCAAAGTTCCAGATTAGTATCAGCTAAAAAAAAAAAAAAAAAAAAAAAAAAAAAAAAAAAAAAAAAAAAGACTTTTGTGAGCAATTTGAAGGATAGAAGTAAAAAAAAATGGCTTTATTTTTCTTATCCTCTGAAGATCGAAGCAGGGAAAGGAGTGCTTTCGCATCTCACATATGTGGTCCTTATCTGCTGGCTTGCCAGGTTGGTGAGCCCACAGCAACTCCAGCTCCTGCAACATCCTCTTTCAGCTTCCCTGATACCTGGGCCAGGTCATGTTTAGCTTCATGGTAAAGTGCACCAGTTTCTGCAGGATGCCTGCAGGGTTGAATTGGAAGCTTGGAGGTCATGAAAGTCAAACATGGAGTCTAGTCCATCCTCATGTTTCCAGCTCAGCCTCATAGATTCTAGTTTATGACTACTTCCCTTATTTCATATCCATCTTCGCTTCTCAACTACTTGCCCTGTGGACTTGAGGTTTTAGCACTGGAGGCACAACAGCCTCATATAGACTCTCACCAGATACCACAGTTCATAAGGTCAATAAAGTCCTAATTTTCCACATGTGCTGTGTGTGTGTGTTTATGTGTATGTGTGTGTGAGAAAGAGAGAGAGAGAAAGAGAGAGAGAGAGACTGAGAGACAGTGAGAGAAAGAGAGAATATATGTATCCCAGTGGTTCTGCTTTTCTTCTGGTCAAACTCTTACAGACACAGTATAGAAAAGGGAGCATTACAAAATATTTGTTGTTTAAAAGGGTACCATTGGCTTTCAGGATTAAGTCCCACTGTTTTAGGGCACTCTTTGGCTATACCATATGGTCCTAATAGAGCTGTCAATCATAATGATTCTCATTATATCCAATTCTTCAGCCACAGTGATTGTTCATGGGGCTAACAAACTAGCTGTGCCAACCTTGCATGAAATTGCCTCTATGGACATTAACAAAGAGGTTTTTCTTCCCTTATTTTCATAAACTGTAAGGATATCAGTGTAGGTTAGCCAGAGCCATCTTTCTAGCCATTTCCAGTCAGTCTCTTTTGTTTTTTTCAGCAGAAATACATGAGATTGACAGAAAAGAGGAGAAACTAGCAGAAGAGAGAGTTGAAGAGAGTGTGAGTGAGGGTCTTGGTGCTTGGCACTTCACCTGGACTACTAAATCCAGCTGTGCTGGTGTTCTTCCAGTTCCATATGCCAGTCACCTCCTTTTCTTCTAAAGCTCATTTGAGCTGGCCTTCAGTCAGTTGCAACAAGAGATTTTTTTTTCTTTTCTTTCTTTCTTTCTTTTCTTTCTTTTTTTTTTTTTTTTTGTAGAGACAGGGTTCCAGTCTGTCACCCATGCTGGATGGAGTGCAGTGGAGCAATCAAAGCTCACTGTAACCTCAAGTTCCTGGGCTCAAGTGATCCTCCCAACTCAGCCTTCCAAGTTGCTGGGACTGCAGCTGTGTACCACCACACCTGGCTAATAAAGTTTTATTGGAACATAGCCATGCTCATTTATTTATGTATCATCTATGGCTGCTTTTGCACTACAATGGCAGAGTAGAGCAGTTGTCACAGAGTTCATATGGCCTGCAAAGCCTAAAATATTTACAGTTTCACTCTACAGAAAAGTTTGCAGAATTCTAATCTAAGACATTCCTGAAATTAATGTGTTTGCCCATTTAAACATAATACTAGTAGCAGTGCATTTCTCCGTGTTGGAAACAAGTGCTTGGTGCCCCAAAGAAAAACCAGCACTTAGAAAATTTCTGAGCAAGGCACATTTACTTCTGCAGGAGGGTGCTGCCTGCATCTATCATGATTGCAAGAGCACACAGAGCAAAGGAGAGGAGGGTTTTTATCCCTAACACAGCTCTTGTTCCTGTGTCCTCTCCATTGGCTGGAGTCAGACCACACAATCTAAACTAACCCGACTGGCTAAGATTTTAAACTTCTCTAAATAAGGTAAAAGACTTAAACTTTTCCAAATAAGGTAAATGTGCAATTTGCAAAGAGAAGAGGCAGGGAGAATGGGAAGGCCATGTTTAGACATGTTTGGGCACGGCAAAGGTGGGAAGGGTTGTTTAGAGAACAAGAACTTATCATTTCTAGCACTATGAAAAGACACTAGCCACTAGAGAAAGCCAGGAAGTTTGAAGAGGAACTGATTGTTTCTGACATTAGTATGCCAGACAATACATATCCCTACAGTACACAGCCTAGTCCAGACTATGGACATGCCCACACATGTTTCTTAATGTTGGCTTCTTAAGCTGTCCTAAAATCTTTTTTGTTTGTTTGTTTGTTTTTGAGATGGAGTCTTGCTCTGTCACCCAGGTTGGAGTGCAGTGACGTGGTCTTGGCTCACTGCAGCCTCCGCTTCCCAGGTTCAAGTGATTCTCCTGCTTCAGCTTCCTGAGTAGCTGGGATTACAGGCGTCTGCCACCATCCCCGGCTAATTTTTGTATTTTTAGTAGAGACGGGGTTTCACCATGTGGTCAGGCTGATCTTGAACTCCTGACCTCAGGTGATCCACCCGCCTTGGCCTCCCAAAGTGCTGGGATTACAGGCGTGAGCCACTGCGCCCAGCCAAGCTGTCCTAAAATCTTAAGACCTACACAGCATCATCAAGCAAATAAATTTAAAACAGCCTGGTTACTAGTATTCTCTCTTCTGAATTCAGAAATTCTATTTTGCCTATTTTTAAATATAAATGCAAAACTAGAGTATAATCACATATTCCTTTAAATGTTAAATTCCCTCAAAATAGAAGCACTAGTCAAAACAGCACAAGGAAAAGATAAATAAAATCTTTAACACATATATGGAGGAGCCTTCAATACATATGGTGACATGTCTTATTCACTATCAAAGACAGTTGCAGTGGAAAATCGTATTTAATTTTCTATTCACTACATTAAAAATTGCACAGTCTGAGAGATTCTGGCCAAATAATTTTTACTAATATAATTTTTCCAGAAATGGGAAAAAGAGTGTTTTTACTTTAAAGCTCTATGATTTTTTTTTTTAATTCAATAAGCTATTTAGGCTTCCATGTAGAAAGCATATATATTTAATTTTGGGTACTTAGGCAAAAGCCATCACTCTTCTTTTTCAGAGAGAGAAAACACATCATCTAGACTAGGCTTCTTAATGATTCCTTTTTATTGCCCTCCATCGAAAGTCACAGCCAGACACACAAATATGTAAGAGGCAGGTGAATAATTGCCTATGTTTTTCAGAGCATAAACTAAACCAGTTCTGAAATTTGGGCATATTCCCTTAAATAGAAAGCTGACCACCCTGGGAGTAATAAACTTGATGATAGGACTTTCTTCTCTCCTCCTCCTCCTTCTAATTTTCTTTAATGTGAACAGATGAAGAGCTGTTGGCATTCAAGTTCCACGGAGCTGTGAGGGTGACAAAACAGAAAACCATTATGAGACAGAAGGCACAAAATATGAGAAAAGGGAGAGAAATTCTTCTAGTCTAATCGATGACCAGATTTGTTGATTGTTAGTTGATTTTAAAAAGCAGTTTCTGTTCAGAAACAAGGCTTGTTCCATATTGGAAAGGCTGTGTTGTCAGTGGTAGTAGCTATGTGTGTGATTGGTGGTAAGGGTGAGAGGTGAGGACTTATATAATGAGAGGCGTACATCTGCATGTTACCAGTTTCTATTAGTCTCTATTTTAATTGGGCCATGTACTATATGCTAATGTTTTCACTCAAGTGCCTTGGTGGGTGTTGGAGTGGTTTCCAGGTGGAGGTTTCTCCTAAAGGACATGAAAAGCCAGTGAACAGAAGAATTTGTCTTAATATACCCAGAAGTTTTCTGCAAAATCAAATTTCTGGAGCTGATTCTTAAACAGTGGTCAAATCTACCACCCAATCAGCAAGTAAACATGCTCTCTGCCATCAACTAGGATTCAAAGAAGAAACCAAAAATTTAGGCTGTTCATTATAGTTCTGTTTGATTCATCCAAAAACTATTTTAAATTGGTCGTGTCACTGGAACTCAAGAATGCAACTAATGGAGTCAAGTAAATTATTGGACCATTGGAAAGAAGCGCTAAACCATGACCATTCCTTGATTCCCACTATAGCACAGTGCAAGACACGTTTTATCCCACAGTATGCGGGTTGAGATCTAATTGTCTTTTTCTTGTGTTCATAAAAGATCAAAGAGCCAACACTACTGTGGTAATGTGGCAAAAAAAGTACCTCCTGACAGCATGAAGTGGCAACTGACAGTGAATGTAAACTTGGATTCTATTGATAATAGTAGCTAAATTTTTGGAGAACTCACAACCTGTCAGGAACCACATTAGGCAGTTTGCTTGGATTATGTAATGTCAGATTAGTGGAAAAACAAAACTGAGCAATGTTTTGTTTATAAGAAAAAAAGCTAAAAGTAATGTTTTAAAGAGAGAAAAGGCAGGTTCAGGGTGAAGGAGGGGAATTTTGCTTTTGAGCTGTGTGTGCTGCATTCAAGACAACAATCTAGGCAGAAATGAGTTGTATGAGTCTTGAGCTCCGAGAGAGATCTGGGTGAGAGATATGTATTTATTTGTGCTTACAGGAGGAGGAGAGGAAGATCAGAATACAGAGGAACAGGTACGTTTAAGGAGTAGGCAAAGACATGGATCCAAACTAGGAGACTGTGGCATCATACAGGCTGTTACCAGGTAGCATTTTAAGAAGGACATGAATAGAGACAATTAAAAAAACACAGTTTATAGAGGAGATATGATAGTCACAAACATACACATCAAATAACTTTGCAGCCGAATAGTTAAAAAGAGCTTGTAGAAATGCAAAAACCTAATAAAATTATAGTTGTAATTTTTAAAACATCCCTTTCAGAAGTAGAAAGATTCACTACACAAAAAGATAAGTAAGGACAGAGAGGAATTGAATAATATAACAATAAAGTAGATTAATAAAATCATGTGTAATTTCTATCCTACTGACATAGAGTGTGAATTTTTGTAGGAATATAAATAGTACAAATATTGATGATATATGTATTTGACTACAAAGAAAACCTTTAAAAACATTAAAATATAGAACACTCACAGGCCACAACAAAATTAGAAATAAGTAATAAAATGTTGACTGAAAACATTTTGGAAGTTAAGAAACACTCTCTTAACTCCAGCATCAAAGAGACCTTTAAAACTGAAATTATATGCTATCTAGAAAGCATGGAAAGGGGAATGATTCACATTGAATATTTTGTATTAAAATAAAACAGTGAGACTCCATCTAAAAAAAAAAAAAAAGAGGAAGAATCAGTAACAGAAAAATAAAATAAACCAAAGAAAGTAAGTAGTAGGAATTAGCAAAGACAAAAGATAAAATTAATAGAATAGGAAACACCAAAATAGTAGGGAAAAACCAAATACTGATGCTATGAACACAGCAATAAAATAAATAAACTGCGATTTGCCTGAATAGAGAAAAGAGATAGAAAACATGAAAGATTAAGAATGGGAAGTACAGAGCTACAAATAAATGCAAAACAAAAGAGATGAAAATAATTATAAGAATACACCATGTAAAAGTCTGTGACAGCAATTTGATAACCTAGAAGAAATGACTTACTAACAAAATGAGCAAAATTAACCCAAGAAGAAATTAAAAAACTTTAAAAGAGTAATTAATATATAAACTATTACAAAGGTAATTGAAGATGTAGCACTAAAAAAATTCTGATTATTTAATAGCTGAAGCTTTTTTATTGAAAAAAAAGTATTCAGTAGGTCATTCAAAGAGAGTTTGCAGGCCTTGAAGCCAGGAACTCTAAAGGCTATGACAAGAGATTGAAGTTCTCCATAGGATGCCATAGTCATTCAATAGTGCTATGTTTTCCTGAAGGGATATAAGACTTAGCCACTCATAATCATACTAGGCCGTGATTGGTGATGTGGGAAAGTAAATACATGTCTCAAAGTTTTAAAAAATTTAAAAATTAAAAGTGTTGATCTTACAGCTGAATGCAATCTAACAGTTAGCAGAGATAATTCTAATATCGTTTACATTATTTCAGATTATAATAAAAGATGGAAAGCACCCCAATTTGTTTTATGATGTTTATATAAGTGTAATACTAAAATTTGATAAAGACAGTCAAGAAGAAGAGATCACCATGGGAGAGGGAGCAGTAATCTAATTTATAGTATTAATGTAAAAATTCTAAATGAAATATAAACAAATTGAACCCAGCAATATATTAAAAGAATAATATTGTATGGCCATCCAACAATGCAAGGGTTCAATATTAAAAACATATATATATATAATTTATTATATTATGTAAGAAAAATAATATCAAATACTAAAGCACCTTCAATAAAATTTGATAGTGATTTCTAATTTCAAAAACCTCTACATAGAACAGATCAAAACTATGTGAACACAATTATAATTATTGGCTAAAAATTAAATGCAAATGACTTTCTAGATGATAAAACACTAAAGGACAGTCCTATTAAAACCAGAAAAAAGCCAATTCAATGTTGTTTTGTAGGTTTAAGAAAAAATATTAGGAGAAGAAAATAAAATGGAAATAACCTATATAGATACCAGAAAATAAAAAAGCTAAATGTATTTGTTCTTGCTGATCATATAGTTGAATACCTAAGAAACATAAGTTTAAAAACTACTGAATGGGGGACTTGGCGAGGTGTTCAGTTATAATGTACATATAACTTATTATTATAGCAATAAAAAGCAACAGAATGATGCAAAAATTTCATTTAGAATAATGAAATAACTTAGAATATTAAGGCATTTATTTAAGAACATAGCTATAAAACCTATATGACATGTGAAAATTGAAACCTTTTGCTCTTTGAAAGATAATTTCCAACAACAATGTAAGCAGATTACAACACATAAGACAAACCACAGACTACAAGAAAATATTTGCAATGCACATATCTGACAAAGGTCTTGCATCTCAGCTATATAAATATCATTCGTAACTCAACAATAAGAAAACAAACAGCCCAATAAAAAAAGGGGGCCAAATATTTGAATAGAAAAAAATCACAAAAGAAGATATACAAATGGGTCGGGTGCAGTGGCTTTCCCAGCACTTTGGGAGGCCAAGATGGATGGATCACTTGAGATTAGGTGTTCAAGACCAGCCTGGCCAACATGGTGAAACCCAGCCTCTACTAAAAATACAAAAATTAGCTGGATGTGATGTGATGGCACATGCCTGTAATCCCAGCTACTCGGGAGGCTGAGGCAGGGGAATGGCATGAACCCAGGAGGCGGAGCTTGCAGTGAGCCGAGATCGTGCCACTGCACTCCAGCCTGGGTGACAGAGTGAGACTCCATCTAAAAAAAAAAAAAAAAAAAAAAAAACACGAATAAATGCTCAAAGTAATTAGCTACCTGGGAAATGTAATTTAAAATCACAGTGAGATGGAACTATATATCCACTAGAATTTACTACAATTGAGAAGACCGAGAATGCCAAGGATATACAACAATTGGAAATCTCATACAGTGACAGTGAAAACGTAAAATAGTACAAGTTTGGAAAACTTTTGACAGTTTTTTAAAAATTTAAAGAAGCCCCTACTATATGATTAAACAATTCTAATTCTAAATATTAACTGATGAAAAAAGAAATATATGTCTAATGAAAGAATTGTACACTAATGCTTATGACAGTTTTATTATGAATAGCAAAAACTGGAAACAGCCCAAATGTCCATGACTAGGTGAAGAGATAAACAAAGTGTGGTAAATCCATGTAACTGACTTCTACTCATCAATGAAAAGAAACTACTGATACATTTAAAAAACCTGATAAATCTCAAAATAATTATGCTGAGGAAGCCAAGTACGGAAGTGATTTTATATATTATTCCATTTTTATGAAATTATAGAAAATAATTTATAGGGACAGAGAGCAAATTTGTCCCAAATCTATAAGGAGGGGGTTTGGGGGAGAAGAAAAAAATGAATTACCCAGTGACATGAAGAAACCTTTGAGGGGGATGAAAACGTGAAATATGAGAATTTCAGGAATAAACAGACGCTTCTAAAAACTCATAGAAAAAAGCAGAAGGGCTATAAAGGATCAAGAATTGGAAGGACATCAGAACACTCAATCATAATGATTCAAATCAAAATGATATCAAATCTAGAATTTTGTAACAAATTACAGTAATGATCAATTATGAGGAGTTACAAGAAGTGGTTTTTGTTTTTTGTTTGTTTGTTTTTGGGGGCAGAGTCTCACTCTGTTGCCCAGGCTGGAGTGCAGTGGTGCGATCTCAGGTCACTGCAACCTCTGCCTCCCGAGTTCAAGAGATTCTCCTGCCTCAGCCTCCCAAGTAGCTGGCATTACAGGCACCCGCCACCACATCCAGCTAATTTTTGCCCTCCCAAAGTGCTGGGATTTCAGGCACAAGCCACCGAATCTGGCCAAGAAGCATATTTTTATTTCACCATTCATGCCTACTTCCTCAGAAAGCTACTGGAAAATGTATTCCTTTGAAATAAATTTAAGCCAAATGAGAGTAAGACATGAGATACAGATAAGAAGAGCTAAAAACAGGTTAAAAAGCAACAGAATTCCTGGGAAGATCATGAAGCAGACTCACAAAACGACAGTAGTGTGGCAGATCATAGAGAAAGAAGGGATCTAAGAGGATGTTTTCCAGGGGAAAAAATGAATTTATAGATTATTCTATATACCTGGTTACATTGAGAAGAGATTTACAGCTCTACCAGAGAGTTTGAATAAGAATTAGTGTTAAGTACCTGGGGAAGAAATACAAGCAAAGAAAAAATGAAGCAATTATTAAGTCTAGGAAAAGTTTTATAAAAAGGAAGTAAAACAAAAAGTTTCACAAAAATAAGAAGTAAAGTCCTAGTACACTAAGGAAGTATGAATAATATTTGCATAGTCAAAATAATGTAACCAAAATAATAAAAGTTGAGATATACCTACATTGGTGGAAAAGAGAGGAAGTGTGTGTTTGGGGTGCAGGTAGTTATAGAAGAGCTAAATATTCCTCTGCTCTACTAGGAAGTCATTGAAATTGACTGATGGTGTCCACAACTGAAATTTTAAAACTAGTTGTATTAGTACGTACTTTAGAGATATGGATGTAAATGACAGAAGAAAGAGCCAAAACAACACAGAGCAGTTGCCACTGAGGAACAGGTACCACGAAGCGGGGGAAGGGTGGGGCAATTTCTGTTTTTCTCTGTGTTTATAGTATAATTTGACTGTATTTTGATCATGAGAGTGACAGGATGTTATTGATATTTTCTGAAGTCTTCACTGCTAGTTGTGTGAAAAGGGAAAGAACAGAAATAGGGAGAATCTTTAGAAGGTGTAATGGTGCAGGCAGAAAATGACAATGCTTGGTCTAGGTTGGAGCACCACAGATGGTCAGAAGTGGTGGAATTAGAGATGTATTTGCTGATGATAAAATTGACAGAACTTGCTAATCTACTGAATATGGAGAGTGAGGGGAAAGGGAGTCGTGAACGATTCCTAGGTTTTTGACTCAAGCAGGTACACGCTTGAATGGTATAGTCATTTATTAAAATGGAGAAAGCCTGAGAACTAAATGTGACAGAGGAATCCATACTTCTGTTTTGGACATGTTGAGTTTGAGAAAGTGATTAAAGGCAAGGACTCTGGAAGAAATGACTTGAGTTTGAATCCCAGATTCACCACCTACTAGCTGTGTGACCATGAGTAAGTCATTTAACCTTTCTGTGTGTCATTTTCCTCATGCGTGAACTATAATAGAAATAATAATTTATTTGCTTCATAAAGTTGTTGTAAGAATCAAACTGTTAATTAATTGGCAGGGATCATTGTGTGATTCACTGATTTATTCCAAGTGCCTAGAACAATGCCTGGAAGAGAGTGGGTGCTTAATAAATACTGCTGAATGAATGAATGGATGTCTATTACCCATTTGAGAGGAGAGGTTGAATAGATATATAGGCGTACAACTCCGGAAATTAGAGCCAGACATAAGCTGGGAGTCATCAGTAAATAGGTATTAAGAAATACCTATTTAATACATATTAAATAGGTAGTTAAGAAAGCAGCTATAATATAAGGAAAGTTCTCCAGATCTTAAAACATACTACAGCTGCAACATTTACGTGTGTTACTAGTATAAGTACTGTCTGACAGATCATTGTTACAGAAAAGATAGTTCAGAAACGAATGCATTAAAAGCGTATCAGGCTGGTGTGGTGGCTCACGCCTGTAATCCCAGCACTTGGGGAGGCCAAAGTGGGTGGGTCATTTGAGGTCAGGAGTTTGAAAACAGCCGGGCTAACATGGTGAAACCCAGTCTCTACTAAACATACAAAAATTAGCTGGGCATGGTGGTGGGCGCCTGTCATCCCAGCTACTCAGGAGGCTGAGGCAGGAGAATCGCTTGAACCCGGGAGGCCAAGGTTGTGGTGAGCAGGGACCGCACCATTGCACTCCAGCCTGGACAACAGGGTGAAATTCCAACTCAAAAAAAAACAAAAAGAAAGAAAGAAAAAGCATATCAGTTGGAATAGATTATTCAAACAAATAATGGAGGTGGGGAAAATGAGAATATGTGGGGGATGGAGGGTGGTGGTGAAATCCAATCAGATCTTTACATTAAATTACAGCCAAAAAATTCAACATAGGCTAAGGAATTGAAGGTAAAATATGAAAACAAAACCCCAAAACTGTTGAAGGAATTATGGGCAAATATTTACACCAATCTTGAGATGGGGAATATTAATGCCATGGAAGAAATCACAAAGAAAAAAATAGATATTATTTTTAATAGATGACATAAATATTTAAAATTTCTGAACATTAAAAAGTCATAAACAAAAATTTTAAAATGACAAACTGGCAAAATATATTTGAAATATGACAGATAAATGATTAATATTACATCATTATAATTTATTAAGAAAAGTAGGTTGCAGCCAGCACATCAAGGTTACTGACTTTTTATCATGTTTGGTGGCTGTGAGATTATAGAAGCATACGAATATGATCTTTATCAAGACGAGTTATCTAGTGAAATGAGTGTTGATAGTGAGGTGGAATTTCAACTCTATAGCTGAATTTATTATGCCCAAGATCTTGGTGATGTCATCAGGGAAGAAGAACATGAAGGAAAGAACTCTGGGAATTTGGAATCTTCGAGTAGTAAACCAAATCAGAAGAGGCTAATTGTCCTTTCAGATAGTGAGGTCATCCAGCTGTCAGATGGCTCAGAGGTCATCACTGTCTGATGAAGATAGTATTTATAGATGTAAAGGAAAGAATGTTAGAGTTCAAGCATAAGAAAATACCCATGGTCCTTCTGCTTCTCTTCAATCTAATGAGCTGGTTGATAAGAAATGCAAGAGTGATATTGAAGAGAGATCAGGTGTAATCTGAGAGCTCATGATTAGAGCCGTCAGTTCAAGTGAAGAGGAAGAAAGCACCATTTCAGAAGGCAATAATGTGAAAAGCTGGATGCTACTGGGATGTGAAGTAGATGATAGAGATGATGATATCCTTCTCAACGTTGCGGGATGTGAAAACTCTGTTATTGAAGAAGATGATATAAACTGGTTCATCAGTGACAAAGACATTGAGGCCGAGATAGCTAATAACAAATCACCTGGAAGACACACCCAGAGATATTATTCAGGCAACAAAAACATTATCTGTAGAAATTGTGACAAATGTGGCCATTTAACAAAAAACTGCCCCTTACCAGGAAAAGTTCGTCGCTGCTTCCTGTGCTCCGGGAGAGGACATCTCCTGTGTTCCTGGCCAGCCCCCCTTTGCGAATACTGTCCTGTGCCTAAGATGTTGGACCACTCATGTCTTTTCAGACATTCCTGGGATAAACAGTGTGACTGATGTCATATGCTAGGTCACTATACAGATACTTGCACAGAAATCTGGGGGCAGTATCACCTAACGACCAAACCTGGACCATCCAAAAAGCCAAAGACCCCTTCAAGACCATCAGCCTTAGCATATTACTGTCACTGCATGCAAAAGGCAATTCTGGGCACAAGTGTCCAGAATGAGAAGTGTATGACCCGTCTCCAATATCTCCATTCATCTGCTACTACGATGACAAATATGAAATTCAGGAGAGAGAAAAGAGACTAAAACAAAAAATAAAAGTACTGAAGAAAAATGGAGATATCCCAGAGCCATCTAAGCTACCTTAGATAAAAACAGCAAATGAGAACTCCCATCATTATATAAGGAAGGGCCATGCCTTGTGGAAAAGCAACAGGTGGCCTCAATAAAATAAGGAAACACAAAAAGAAATGAAGAACAAGAACAGAAACTGGGAGAAGCACAGGAAGGCTGACAGACATGTGAAGTGGGTGAGGATTTTCCTAGGGGCCCCAAAACCTACTCTTCTCCTGGCAGTTTTAAAACCCAGAAGCCTTCCAAGCCCTTTCACCATTCATCACATTACTTCACATCAAGAGGAGACAAGTCTCCCAAGGAGGTTAAGAGGGGCAAGAGAAGAAAAAGGAGAGGTGCTTGGAAGATGATGACAATGATAACTTATTTCTTATTAAGCAGAGGGAAAAAAAGGTCTTAAGCTGTCAGGCAGCCTCTGATGTGGCTTTCCTTTGTTCTTTTGGCCTTTGTGTCTATAACCTTCTGGCATTGTGATTATTATCTGTAACTAAATAAAGTGAGCTTTGTTTTTGTTTTTGTTTTTGTTTTTAATTTCAGCCATTCCTAGATTTACTGAACATCCGTGGAGATCTCAACTCTCTAAGTCCAACAGGTTACTAGGTAAGAAAGTAGAAAGATAAACCTGGACTTCTCCTGTTCCAGGATGTCATCTTTACTCAGAATCCTAGGGCTAGGAAGAAGAATTCATCTTTTCAAGAAAGCTTTTAAAAAATACTTTGGGGGGGAAAAAAAGCCGCATCAAAGATAATTCATCCTCAGCCTGAGTATGAAATTAAATCCTTGTAGGACGAGAAATTAACACTAAGAAAAAGTCATCAGTATTTTTCAACTTTTTTTTTACACTGGAAAGGACAATAACAATAAATTTATATCCAGCTTTTCTTGCTGCTGAAGCTGTTTTCAGAATCTTCCTTTGGACAAAACATCACAAGCTAACTGTAAAAACAAAAATGTCATCATTGAAGCCCTGAAGAGGCAGGGAATTGGGCCTCAGCAAAATAGAGGTGAAGAGTCCATCCAGTATAAATGTCAGAAAGCAGATTTCCTAAAACAAGTGAAAGAAACATAAAAAATTTTAACATAATCACAATGAAATCATTTTTTACCACTTCTACAGCAATGTTTCAAGTGGACAGTCAGATCTGTAGAGATGAATATTACTAAAAAAATTGTTTTGTTCTCTTGTATTTTTTTAAACTACCTCAAAGTTATACAGAATTTTCTGGTACTTGTAGATCTTTTGTACTTCTCATACCCTAATATCAGAATAAGAAAAAGAAAATATCTGAAATAGAAATAAAAGTATAAGCATGCTGATAGAAGAATTGACAGAATAAATAAATAGAAAATTCACAGAAGAAAAATACAAATAAATAACAAACATATGAATAACTTTAATCTCTGGCAATTAATCAAAACCATATAACTGGGCAGAAAACATTTTTTGTATCAAATTAGCAAAAACTACAAAAATTATAATATTCAGTGTTACCAAAGATGTAGAGAAATTAGTACTCATAACACATTTCAGATGGGAAAACTCTTTAGTAGGAGTCTTGAAAATAAATATCAAAAGCTTAAACTTTTTTAGCATCTTTCATTCCAATGTTTCATGTTTATGAATATGTTTCAAGAAAATTAAAATATGCCATTAAAAGTAACGGTGTGAATCTGGTATTTTTTAATATGAAAAGATGTCCAAAATAGATTACTAAGAGCAAAAAGGGTACAAACATAGTATACTGTGGTCCTGTTTTGTTCCAATATGCTGTCTGAAAGAAAGATCAAATGAATACGTTGAAACTCTAGAAATGATTATCTTTTGGTGGAAAAATTGGGGGTGACTTTATTTCAAATTTATACTTTACATATGCCAAACTTTCTGTAGTGAATACATTTCATAATTATAAAACATTTAAATTAAAAATTCAATATAGTACTATGTAGGATATTTCTATTGGAAAAATTTACTAAGATAGTTTGAGATTCAAAATAATGGTTGATGAAATGTAATATTATAATTGAAATTCATTCATGATAAAAAAAAAATGGATCCATGCAAAGATCATCAAAGAATATGAAAGCCATGAGGTGAAAAATTGATGGGGAACTTTATAATGGTTGTATCAGTGTGGCAACACTTGGGGCCCTGGATTAACTTTTAGCACCACTAAAAGTGGGACAATCAGACATTATGTGTCTTGTATTGTGATACAATAGGATGTACCTGGCACTACCCATATATATTCTTGAAGAAAGAAAGACAGGAAGGAAGGAGGGAAGGAAGGAAAAGAAGGAAAGGAAGGAAGGAAGGTGGGAAACCTAAATCTAATCAAGTTTATATACCTAACAGTTAACAAATAATATAGGGGGATAGAAAAATAAGCTGAACAATGTTACCAGGGAGCTAATAGACAAATCAGAATGTGAGAAAATCAGTAAGATTAGGCCGGGCATGGTGGCTCACGCCTGTAATCCCAACACTTGACCTCGTTAAGAGATAACGAGGTCAAGAGATGGTTGCTACCATCTCTTAATGGTGAAACCCCGTCTCTACTACAAATACAAAAATTAGCTGTGTGTGATGGTGCATGCCAGTGGTCTCAGCTACTCAGGAGGCTGAGGCAGGAAAACTGCTTGAACCTGGGAGATAGAGGTTGCAGTGAGCCGAGATCCCATCACTGCACTCCAGCCTGGGTGACACAGCGAGACTCTGTCTCAAAAAAAAAAAAAAAAAAAAAAAAGACCTAGTCCTTTTAAAAACTAAATGGTGCAAAAAAATGGAAGGGGGGATGTATTATAGATTAAAAGAAATTTAAGAAATATAACAAGCAAGTATGATGTTTGGTCCTATTTTAGATCCTGATTTGAACAAACTATAGAAATTCATATTTTAGGTCAGTCAGAGGAACTTGATTCTGGGTCATGTTACATGATACTAAAAATTTTTTTGTTTATTCTGTTAGTTGTAGTAATGGCATGTTACAGTTAAAGTATCCTTCTCTCTCTACTAAGATATTTGTGATTGAAATTATACAATGTCTGGAATTTGATTTTGATACTCCAAAATTTAAAAGGGAAAAAAGGTGTCTGTACTTGGTGGGGAAAGCTATATCAATGAAATAAAATTGGCAAAATTGTCATGACTCTTGAAGCTTAGTAATAGGTACATTAGGGTTCACTAAACTATCTTCTCCACTTTTGTGTATATTTGAAAATTTCCCTAATTAAAATGTAAAAGTAAACTTAAAATTATTAGCACAGATTTTCAGTTGAAGAAAATAAATGTACCTGCTCATAGTTTTGGTACAAGTGGGCATTGTCCAAGTTTGCTGATATGAACATTTATTATTTTTTAGAAATTGAGATCTTGTATCTCTGACTGGGAGAGTTATCTGGAGATACTTAGCTTAACTTGTAGACAGACATAGATTTTTGAGATGATAAAAAACTTTATAGAATAAAAACAGATTGTGAAACGATGGTGTGGGAAGAGGTATATCTGAAAATCCAAAGAAGACTATATAACAGCTTCTTAAGGCAACATACATTCTCAGTGAGGTATTTCGTAGGAATAACAGAGACATTCAGATTCCCTAAGAAGAAATAAGTGTTGCCCAAGGTCCTACATGTCCCAAGAGCATCTTGCTGGGAAAGAATGAATCAGGAGGGTTTTTTGTTTTGTTTTGTTTTGTTTGAGAAGGAGTCTCGCTCTGTCGCCCAGGCTGGAGTGCAGTGGCCGGATCTCAGCTCACTGCAAGCTCCGCCTCCCGGGTTCAAGCCATTCTCCTGCCTCAGCCTCCCGAGTGGCTGGGACTACAGGCGCCGCCACCGCGCCCGGCTAATTGTTTGTGTTTTTAGTAGAGACGGGGTTTCAGCGTGTTAGCCAGGATGATCTCGATCTCCTGACCTCGTGATCCGCCCGCCCCGGCCTCCCAAAGTGCTGGGATTACAGGCGTGAGCCACCTCACCCGGCGAAATCAGGAGCATTTTTAAGACTGCAGTCCTCTTCCAGGATACTGCATGTCTAAATCCAACAAGAAGATGTTCTTCGAGATCTCTGAATTGGGAGACTGTAAGCTCACCTCGTGTCTTCTATTACACAACTAGCTCAGTACGCTTGCTCTGCACCTTTGCTGCCCACTAGAATGTAAGTGTCATGAGGATAGGGCCCAGGCTTGCCAGGGTCACCCTCAGGACCCCACCCCCTGCTACAATGCCTGGAACATAGTGAGTGCTCAATGAATACTATTTGACTAATGGATGTAGTACCTTTTTGTTACAAAATGATTTCCCAATCCCCTCTACCCTAGTCTTAGGATAAAGATTTGTTTTTTATTGAGAAATGGCAAATAAGGCTTTGGACCCCCTGAAGATTAAATACTAAAATCCCCATAACAATTTTTTTGTTGGTGTTCTTATGGGACTGCGTGAATTCGAAGGACGTTTATAATGCCTCATAATGCTTTAGGAAGTGAGCCAAGAACTCCACCATCACTAGGAGTTTCAAAACCTTGAGAACTCTTCTCCCGGTGTGTTTAAGAGTATGCAGGCTCATTCTGCGCAAGGAATGTACTGGCTTATGTTGACATCTTTGTCTTTCCCTACCTCCCCACTAAGTACTATGGCAGTTTCTTTTCAGGGTCATACACGATTCCTGCAGCCTTTTTGGTGTGTGGAAGATAGCCCTACATGCTTCCCCCAGCTCACACGGCTCTAATAAGAGACAATCCCCGCAACACAGTACAGTTTCCCAGCAGGATAAAAGCTAGTTTCTAAAAGGTAATATTTCTCTCTTAAGAAAGTATAGTTTGTAACTCTGGCACTATCAAATTTCCAGGTCATCTTTTCTTGCTGGGAAAAAGAATCCTTATGAAGAGAAGTTGCTCCCTGGAGGGAGAAGAAGGCAACAATTGCCCCCTGAACCGACCCAGTGTCCTGGAAGGATGGTTACAATGGACCCCAGGGAGGCCGCCAAGCTGTTGGGCAAAGGAGGCATGGGTGACCACAGAAGGGGAGATCCCTTAAATGGAAGGACTCGCGTGGCCCTTCAGTAAAGCTCTCACGAACCGACCAGTGTGGTCACCAACCATGCTCTGATTATGTTCAAGTTGTTGAAGTTACTCAGTGGATTAATAGGATATTGCACTGGCTTCCTCAAATGCACATACACAGAATCACTTAATGCCATTTTCAAGGACAAAAAAAAACCAAAAAACAAACAGAGAGAGAGAGAGACCGATCCAAACGCCCTGCAAGTGAATAGAGAATAAAACAGCATAAAACAGACCCGTTCTCCTTGCCACCAAGCAGCGCTGCCCCACCGACCAAACAGCCAGCTCATGTCTGCTCATGGCTCCTGTCTGTCCAACAGGGAGA